AGCATGCTGGCTGGGGATTTCTGGGAGTTGAAGTCCACACATCTTCAAGCTGCCAAGGTTGAGAAACACTGGCCTACAGTCTCACCAAAAGATAGACAGACTGAAGCCCACTGATCATAATGTGTTTAACCATGCCAGCACTATAAGATTGCAGCCTTAAATTCTACCTGTTCTGATGACAGTTTCTTCCTGTCTTGACACTTGCTACTCTCCTTGAACAAGTGACCTCTGCACTGAAAAATGCTTTGCACACTACATCAACTGCAGAAGAAATAAAAGTGATTGCTGCTTATGCTTTCCATATAATACCTGAAGTTGATTGAAATCTGGTCATATGAAAGTTGGATACTTTATTATGAGCTTCCATTCTAGGCACTTTATAAAGAGGAGAAGGTGCTCCCATTTCCTTTGCTACCCTTTGGGTGTTATGTTGTAGATATGTTGTCCTTGAAATGACAAGTAAGAGAAATCAAAGGACTACTGGATTCTCTTCCAAACAGGTGCTTTGGAGCACATGGGGCATGTATATTGCACTTCTCTGCAATGCTTGAAAGTAGCCATGTCCTTTTCTAGGATCCTGAAGCTGCCATCTTAGGAAAAATGGGCTGCTTTAAGGAGTTGCAAACAGGTGCTATGTTCATATTTCCACACACTCCAAAGCATGTTTTTTGAAACAAATCCAAGGCACTTCACAGCCCTTCTGTTTTATTTTATTTTTTTCCTATGAGTAATTGAGAAGAATTGTCTGTTCTGATCAAAAAGTCTTCTGTTAAGATTGTTGTTGATTCTTACCCAGTATTGGCTGTCCTCCATCATACTTAGGTGGCTGCCACTGCACCATGCAGTTGTCTTCACCAACATCAGTGATTTTAGGAGCTTCTGGTGGATCAGGCACATCTGGAGAAGGAGGGAAAGATGAGATCAGGTATTTTCTTTTGCTAGTGCTTGTTAGAATCTCGTTTTAGTAGAAGAACTTGCTGTTCCACAGCACAGTAATGACGGCCACTGATTTGGATTCTTTTAAAAGATTCTTAGAGAAATACATGAGTATGAGGCATTCAACAGTATGATGGCTACATATTATCTCTAGTTTCAGAAGCACTATGCCCCGAGGAAAGAATGTTACTGTTTCCCATCAGCATCGGTTTACCCATGTGGAAACAAAATAGTTGGAAAAAATAGACTTTGGTGTGATCCAGAAGACTTCATTCTATGTCTACTCAGCTAGGTATATTCCTTTATTGTAGAAACTCCCATTAAAACATGATGTATTTAGAAACCATGGCTTATGTCCAATACACATGATACATACAGAAACATATCTCACATACAAATCTCTCTCTCTCATTTCTTCCTTCTTTCATATACTTATAATTTATGAGGGCTGCAATCCTAGATTACTTAACCTAAGAATAAGATTCATTGAAATTAAATTGAAGACATCTATAGGATAACACTTTGTATTATTTAATAACTAAGGTTTATGTGACAATCAATGGGCAGAGCAATTACGACTTATTGTACTTCAGGAGCATAGAAATGATGTGGGAGAAAAACCTCTCCATCCTTTTCTTGTTTTACTCCTGTTTCTTCTTACCAGCTTCCTCTTCCCCTTCCCCTTCCCCATCCTCCTTTTCCTCCTCTGTTTCTTCACTCGCAATGGAGGTAACACATTTAGACCAACTTTTGAGCTAGTCTAAATATTTTCTTGAGTTTGGGCATGTCTTGCCAAACATGCTTATAATCACTTTTGTGGTTTTCCACACTTGGAATTCCCAGCCTCAGAAGCAACTAGGCATGAAGGCAGGAGAAGGAATTCAATTCAAATCTCTCCCTCTAAATTTGAATCTCAGAGGGGATAATCCAAGGATCTTTCAGTGGAGGACAGCTCTAATGATTTAAGCCTATGCATGAGTCTAAGGTGGAATGGCTTTGGGCCTAAGTAGTCTTGCAAGTTTTTGTGTATTCTTGAACATTTATTATTGTTGGTAGTATTAATTAATGTTTCTGTTAACAATTCCTTCTTAACACTGAGAAAAGTTTCTTATTGGTTAACATTTTGAAGGTAGGGAGATGTTCCTGTTGTAACTACTATGTTAGTCACAACATTTCTCCATCTGTGAAACAAATGGTATGATCAAGTTAATACTTAAAAATGAAAAGAAAGCCAATCTGTTAAGACCTCACTCACGTGCTATATTTTTAAATGACATGAGATATAAAATATGAGGTTATTCAACCCAGAAACATGATAGAGAAATATAGGAGAAGAATTAATTGCCAAGTCAAGTGACCAGGAAACATATCTGAAAGGTAGTTTACTATATTTGGTCATGAACTGTAAGTATTTCTAATGCTTCAGAAATTATTCTCAGCTCATTGCAGATGACAAAATAAAAGCTAATCTCAGTCAAGAATTGCACAGAGATTGCTGTTGTTCCCTGAAAACCACTCACTGAAACCTGAGATTCAGCCATTACAGTTTCTCCCTTATTTGGAGTTTTACTTGCAGGCAAGGGAGGAGTTGAACTTGGTGGTCACAGCTGCTGAGCTTCTATTTCATTGGAAAATATGAAGACATGAGATGAGTGATTATTTCTGACAGCTCTTTGTCAGACTGACAAAGGCTTGCTTCATGTACTAATCCCACCACTGTTTTGCTTACCAATAACTTTTACAGTGATATCAGCTGTATCTTCTCCAGCTGGATTTTTCACTGTAACTTTGTAGATTCCCTCATCTTCCTTCTCAGCTCCTTCAATAGTAAACACACAATGGTCTTCATATGTTTCCACATGTACTCTGTCTTCAGAATCAGGAAAGGTCTGTGAGCAAGTAAAAAACAGGAAGTTCATTTGGGTGGGTGTATAGTACCGGACAAAGTTTTTAATGACATTTAAGTAGTTTGGCATATGTTACTAAGGTTATATTTGCACCATGATAATCTGAATGTGTAAAAGAGAAAATAAATAGGTAGGCAGGCAAAGATATCTGTGTAACTTTAAACAGATGGTCTGGAGAAGAAACAGCTGATATCACCATAAAAGCTATCAGTAAACAAGACAGTCAAGCCTACTGCAAATGTGACCTCTGTCTGTATTTTTCTGCTCTGTGTTAAAAGTAGCGTTTTCTGGTTTGTGTCAGCACAAGCATTGCAGCAGTTAGACAGATGCTTTCTTTTAGGAAACTTGATTGATTACTTTATGCAGTGACAGAAACACAGAAACATCCCAGTCGAGGAACAACCTAGTTTAGTGGTTGAAGCCCTGCAGCTTTCTAATATTTGCTGCAGCTAATACCAAATATTCCAGTAGCATAGCGGTTATGATATTTGCTTGACATACAGGGAGTTGTTGATTCAAAACACAGCAGACAGGTTTTTTTTTTTTAAATTACTATTCCCCCCACCCCCCCTAAGCTACCTACTTTTTTTGCTGGGCATTTTTCTTCTTAAATAAGTTCCACCTGTGCACTGATGAAACACCAGTGCTAGCTTTCTTCTTCTTTTTATCAACTCCCAAAAATCCATGTGAATAATTACTACAAAGCCCTTTGCACTTTATTTCAATTGACAGAAAAAAACTATGAAACGGCATCCTGGAGAACTTGTTGAATAATGCAGCAATATAGGTAGTTCGGGGTATGAAAAATAGTAATTAAAACCCTGCATTTCTATGAGGTTTCAAACTGATGACATTCTGCATGCCATGCTAACATTATAACCACCATGCTGTTGAAAGAATTCTGTAACAATAGCTGCAACAGACATTACTGAGCCAAACCTGGGAAAATGCAAGAAATAAGTTTTTATTTTAAAGAGGGGTCATTTTCCTGCATATATGGACATTTTGATACTTTCACTTTCTCTATATAAATTTAACTTTGTATACATATATTGTACACAGTCACACAAATCTATATGTTCAGTACATTCATATATACCACCCATAGGAAGGAAAGTGATTGGCAACCACTTTCTTGTCATGGGAAATTGGGAGGGAACAGTAGCAGAACAATTGTACTGAACACCTGGCAAGTCACTGCCAGTGCATCTGGCAGAATCTTCTTAAACCAGCTTTGAGTCTCTCTGACATCAGCATGGATCAGAGCAGCTTAATGATGCAGGGCAAATGTATGCTAAATGTTGCATTCTCTTTCCTACAAAATTTAAATATGTTAACAGCTCTTTTTAAAGTGTTCATGTAAAAATTGTGTTACTTCATTTATATTTAAAATGACATTAAGGAAATAATTCAGTGTGATTTAGCTGAGTAGAGGATGGAGACATGTTTGAACTATGCACACCAATGAGAATTTCATTTAGTTTATCTTATAGCATTTAAAACTCTGGAGTCAGTCCTACAGAAAGGTAAGGACCTTGAAGTAGCAAGGAGTGAAAAGAAGAATTGGGATCCAGCAATAGGTACTATGTCCCTCCCTAACTAGCTAAAATCTGGATATACTGAATACACTCTGGCACAGACCCACATTGGTCCTGAGAGAGTAATTGGACTCTTTCTACTCCATCATTTGAAAAGAAGAAAGTCTAGAAGGGCTTATTTTCTTTTCCCTCATTTATCTTTCTGCATGGCTAACAAAGGATCAGCAAGGTCAGCAAAGGCCAGACAACATATGCTTGCACAGAAGTACACGCTTATTTGCACAAGACTGCCCATTACGATGGGTGGTGCTTCATCACTTGGAGTTAGAAGAAGTGCTGAAGGTCCAACAGTTTGAGAAATAGTACTTTAAACACAACTGAGTCCACAGAGAGATGGTTCAAATTAAAAGTAGGAATTATTGCAAGCTATCAATTCACATAACTATTCTGAATGCATCACCAGGTTGCAGACATTTGTCAGAAGGGAGGTCTATCTGCCTGGCAGTTTGAAAAATGAAGGACTTGCCTTCTCATTGTTAGTCAAATCTCCACATGTGCCCTTACGATCTGTAGAGTTTGAGCCATCTTTTATTAGTTCCAGTTCATTATTCTGAAAGAGAGAGAAAACAGAAGACGAATTAGCCTTCATGGTTAAAATGAAAGAAATTGGCCAGATTTGCTATTAAATAATTTTAACCAGCTGCCCACAGAAATATCTTTTTAGAGGGCAACCCCTCTGATAAGCTGGCGAATGTAGCAGCAAGACAATATAAGATTGATTGATTATGCGCCATCATAATCATCTTGGGTTGTTTTCAACTCCTAGCAACCACATAGATAGATTTTCTCCATAACAATCTATCTCTAAATTTAAGATGAAGGCATACTCCCAGTAGTAAGTGAAACAACCCCTCTGCCACTGATCACATTGTTTTATAGTCAGAGGCTTGCAACAGCAAGCAAGCGCAATGGCAATGGACAGAGATACATTTATCTGTGGATGGGGAAATACCATTTCAAGATCGAAAGGTGTAAAAACTTGCTTTTGAAGGGGTGGGTTCCCATTGCCTCACCTGGTCTCCCAATTCCTGGGCTGATGTCATAGCAAAGTGCTGGCATGGTCCAAAAAGGAGCCCAAATATGAATTGTTGACACACTAACATTGCTGGCTTACATGGGGCTGAAAGGTAATGGAGATTTACTGCCACAGTGAATGGGAGGTTTTGCAGGGTTTTATGCATATTTGTGTATATTACTAATAGTCAATCTCTTCTCATACAACTTCCACTTAGCCTGACTCCATTATTTTTGGCAAAACAATATATGCATGACATACATGGAGTGTCAGAGATGGGAAATACTACCTTTTATTTTATACTTTTTTTGTGTGAAGTTTTTTGTTTGTTTGGGTACAAATTGGGTACAGATTTGGTGGAGCTTGAGGAAGGCAAGGCAAAGCATTTAGTTATTTGCCAGTTTGAAATAATATTAAGTGAGTGCTGACTGACTGCTGGTTCTGCGTAAGTGTTAGATTGAACTGTGCTCAGAGTCAGTCCCAGGGACTTTTTAAGCTGGGTTGAGAATTGGGAAATGAAAACTCAGGAGGCTGGGAGGAAGGGAGAGCTACCTTCATCTACAGAAAGGTGGTCTAGCCCTGCTGAAAAGTGTCCCATACTTTGGTTTTGTTTCTTGTTTATAAAAGCTAAATGCTAATAGTGTATTATTAAGATTGATGCAGCAGCCAGTTGGTGGTTCTTATTGGAGTTCCAAAAACTTGGACCAGGGCTTAAATGAAATTGTGTGTGCTGCAGCTACGCAGAAAAATAAAACAGGATCAAAATCTATACCCCATTGATTATGAAAGGCATGAGATCCTTAATAAGAATCTTTTCTCACTTGCACTGAATTGCAGCACAAGCACAATCCCATAATCCCTTTCTTCTGTTACGTCCTCATGAAGTTGCCATCCTATGCTAGAAGCAGTCATCCTTAGCATTACCAGTAGTGTTTCTCCCCTTACGCTGAGTCAGGTTTTGCTATAGATACAGTTAGAGCTGCTTTATTAATTCTGGTAGGATCAGTCTGGCATCTATTGGCCAGCTTGGGTTTAGGCATGCCCCCTTCACTCTGGTCTTTGGGCAGTGCCTTTCAGGGCCCTATGGGTAGTGGAAGAATCCAGTTCTCTCAGAGTGGACTCTCTCTGTGTAGTCACCAGGTCTTTGAGAGGGTCCTGGGCTTAGAGATCTGGACCAGCTTGATCAGCAGCTGACCAGCAGGGGTGGAAGCAGGATTGTAAGGTAAAACAGGACAGAGACACCTCTCTCTCCACCTCCAGCTATGATTTGAGCTTTCAAACAGAGATTTAGTGTTCTTCTGGAATAATGCTAAACCTGTGTCCCAAGGGAGCCTGATAATGAGCTGATAATAATTGAACTTCTGAATGTACCTGTGAACTAAATATTTGTGCAAAACTAGAATGAATTCAGGTAGAGGACAGATCTATTAAAATTTGCTTCATCCCCATCACAATCTCTGTCCCACTTTACAGAGAGTGACTGGTGGATGTCTTCTCACTGACTGATGATGGCATTGGATGAGATGACGGGATTCGAGTTAAGAAAATGTAGCAGGGGGAAGCCACCAGTCCTTGTCCTTAACATGCCATGCACATAATAAGGACAGCACTGTTTGCCCCCATCATACCTCTGGCAGGATAGAGATCGCTAGCACACACAGCCAATTTTATGCTAGTATAATTTTCTGCTGCCTCAAGGACTGACTTTTAACTTGGCCATGAGGAACAGCGCTATGGGAAAAAACTGTCCTAAACTGTTCCTTTACCGTGTTCAGATAAACATGCCCATCTGAAAAGGAGGTTGAGATCAAGTTGTAGGAGAGAGAAAATGCTAAACACAGGAAGTATTAGATGAGTTAAAAAAAAAAATTTAAAAGCATAAGTGCTCAGAAAGAATATGAAGAGAGACAGTGAACTGGTATTAAAAATAAATACCAGAAGAGGTCAGCCTTGTTCTTTCCAAACATAAATGCTAAGCAAAAGAAGACGATCTTAAAAGTCAATTAAGGGTTAATAACATATACTTTTTTCATTATTTATGATCCAGTACACTCTCTTGAATTTCTGGCACTTTTTCTAATAATTGAATACTATGTTGTTTCATGTAACCATCCAGAATTTTGGAGCCTGTTGTAGGTTACCAAGAATTAGAGATAAATATATATTGTATGTGCTTGCAGAGAAGCCAAGAATTTTAGGTGCCAAAATACACCCACCAAATTGGGTTTGGCTTATCTGCAGATGGGTTTATCTGCAAGTGTAGATGATAGGTTTTTCCCTCAGCTTTTTAAAAGTACTCCTATATCTTGTATATACTCGTGGATAAGCTCATCTGTGCATAAGCAGACCCTCACATTTTTAACCAAAATACCATGGAAAATGCGCCACCTGCGGATAAGCCAATTGTGAAAATTAAAACATACAAACATTTTGAGAGTTGGCTTATCTGTGGGTGGTGCATTTTTCATGGTATTTTGGTTAAAAAAATCGAGGGTCGGCTTACTGGCAGATGGGCTTATACACAAATATATGTGGAATGTTCTATAATCTCTTACGTGCAATCTATTTAACCATTGTAAGTCTCATTTCTTTCAGACCATCTAATAGATATGCTTGAACTACACATTTCCTAACCATCTTCCCACACTGGAGCGCCAATGAGAGAAAGTAAGTGGGCCTGCTATAAATAAGCTTCTCTGTCAGGTAATAGTAGCTATCTATACAAGGCTGTTGCTGTATAAGCCTATACTGCTTCATGGAAGATGGGGAGAGGGGGCAATACTGTTGCAATTGTACCCCTTCTTCTAAGGATGTGGAGATCACATAGTGTTTTACTGTAACACACATTAAAAAAACTGGTGGAGCTTCAATCACACGGTTGTGACTGTCATCTTGATTTTTTTTAAAAAAAACACATTCTGTGGACACCCCTGCCTGTTCAGGTTGCCATCCCTGTGCCATCCCCATGCCCAAGATCTTTGCAAAGGGGTTCTTACATCACAATACAGGTACAATCACTGAAGGCTGCTCACCAACTTTTTAGTTTCTGAATTATCAGTTTCCTGGATCAGGGCCTAAAGCAAAGATAAGCAGCTTGGTATCACTAGAATAGTATTTCTCAGCCTTGGCAACTTTCAGATGTGTGGACTTCAACTCCCAGAATTCTCCAGCCAG